ACAAGGAAGACATGAAATAAAGCAGTGGTCAGGGGCCTAGAGCAGAGTAGGCAGGTGTGAAAACAACTATGAAGCAGCACTGACAGGATCGGCGATGGGGTGGTGCTGGGTTAGTTAAGAATCCAGCACGACTGACTGCCTGACTGCTAGGTAAGGGAGTGGACAGTGCACAGCAAAACATGGAAAAAAAAAAAAACATGGAAACATCACAGGGACGTAGGAGGAGGAAGAGGCCAGATGACAATGTCGAGAATGAGCCTGGTTTGGGATGTGTTCAGCTGGGAGGCCTGTGGGTCAGGTAAGTGAAGTCCCTAGCTGACCTGAGCCTGTGAGGAGTCTGAAGCACAAAGGAGCTCAAGACCAGCCGAGTGCTTTTGAGACTCAACAGGACTCAATGGCGGTCAGCCCCAGAGCGGGCAGGGAGCTAAGAGTGCGCTGGTGAGGAGCACAGATCTTGAGCAGCAGGGGAGGACTTGGAGCCAACCAGGGACTTTGAGAATGAGCTCCATGTGTAGCAGGAATCGGTAGAGCAGCAGAAGCATTTTGAGAAAAAGGACAGAGTTGGCGTCCTCGAAAGGGGCAGAGATGCTTCAGAGGCGCTGTGGATGTGGTTGTAATCAAATCCCATCCGATCTTGACAAGAGCTGTCTCAGTTGACTGGAGAGGAAAGAAGTCAAGTCTGTGTGTCTGTGGGGCAGTACTGGGATTTAACCCAGGGCCTGGCACATGCTAGGCAAGTGCTCTACCACTGAACTCTGTCTTTGGCCTTTTAAAAAATTTTATGTTCAGGGGCTGGTGAGATGGCTCAGTAGTCTAAGGCACCTACTTAGAACAAGCTTAGCAAAGCACAGGGACCGCGGTTCAATCCCCCAGCACCACATGCCAGCCAGCCCCGCCCCCTGGTGGGCTGAGCTGGCCACACACACACACACACACACACACACATAAATAAATTAAAAAAAAAAAATTTATGTTCAGACAGAGGCTCCCTGACTTGCCCAGGCTGGTCTTACATCGATGAGCCTCCTCCTCAGTCTCTCACAGCGCTGGCCTGGAAGCCAGGTTTTAGATGTAGAGGAAAGGCAAGGGTACCAGACCGTGCCGGATGCTTCCGCTTTGTCCTTCTGGCTCACAGTCTTCCCTTCGCCTGTCTGCTGTCTGCACTGGCTGCACAGGGGCAACATCCACACATGCCCAGACTGCTGAGTTTAGTCATGCCAAGCCCTGGGTGGGGAAGGACAGTGAGGTGGGGTGCCTTGAGTCCAGGTCCTTCCCAGAGGGATCAGCCACATGCCCTGCGTAGAGCCACCAGCTTCCTCTCCTGGGCTCGGGTGACCCCTGCTGCCTTCCTCCCCTTAGACTCTGAGTGCAAATCACCCTGCTAGGCCTGCTTGCCTCTGGACAGCCCGAGGCCACCTTTGGAGCCGGCTCTGGGTCAAGTCTTCCTCAATCATCCAAATCCACACACACCACCTGTCCACTACAGGAACCCTGGCTGGTGCAGGAAGAAACCTTGGCTGAGAAAGGAGTGGAAAACCACAAAGACAGGGGTGATTTTGTCAGAAGGTTTTATTTTATGAGGGCTGGAAAGGCTTAGCTACAATGACATGGACTCATGAAGTTTTTACAGCCAGGCCCTGTTTCAGAGGTGTAACCTGAGAGGAGGGGAAAAAGAGACAGGCTCCCTCCCCACTGGCCTTTGCAGCTGGTGACATTACACAAGACCTCACCACAGGCTTCAGGGATGCTAGAACTTGTGTTTCCAGTTGGCCCAAAGCACTCCATTTGCCAGATTTGCCCATGGCTGTGTTGGCAAGAGTTCCTCTGAGCCCTCAATGGATGGAAAAGTAGACAGAGAAGAAAGAACAAAGGCAGGGACCTCAGAAAACCCAGGTACACTCAGTGCGCCAAAGTTGTCAGACACTAAGCAGTGTGGCTGGTGTTTTTTTTAAACTTAGCAAGGCATGACCCAGCCCTGCCCGCCCTGCCGGTCTTGCATCTCTCGTGGGTCACTGCCTCCACTGCACTGCTGTTTCTTGAGAGAGCCCTGCTCTGCCCTTGAGCCTGAGCTCTGCCTTGCAACCTGGCAGTTTCTTCAACTCCTTCTACCACCTTACCAGTAGTAAGGATTGAACCCAGCACCTTTGCACAGAGCTACATCCCCAGCAGAGTTTGCTAAATGTTAAATTGCCCAGGTGAGGTTGAATTTGCAATCCTCCTTCTTCAGCCTCCCAGGGTGCTGGGGTCACAGGCCTGCGCTACCACCCCCACTATTTCCTTAATTCTGGTGCTGGCTAATTCAGTCTCCTCTCCAGAGCTCTCTTAAAAACACCACTTCCTCGCCAGTCCTCATCCAGCCAATCATCAAGTCCTTCCTATTCCATGACACCAATACTTTATTTATTTTTAATTTAATTTTATTTTATTTTTTAATTAATTATTTATTTATTTAGTGTGTGGGTGGCCAGCCCAGCCCACCAGGGGGCGGGGCTGGCTGGCATGTGGTGCTGGGGGATTGAACCGCAGTCCCTGTGTTTTGCTTAGCTTAGCTTGTTCTAAGTAGGTGCTTTAGACCACTGAGCCATCTCACCAGCCCCGACACCAATACTTTATGATACGTCATTCTTTCTTCTTCTTCTCTTCCTCCTCCCCTTCTTTCCCCTCCTCCCCCTCCTCCTCCTCCTTCTTCTTGTATTCCTATCATATTAGGTTATGCCTTCACTATCCTTTCCATTTAAAACACAAACAGACATTGTTATTTCTGACACTGTCACTCCCTTGTTTAAAAATTTCCAATGGTTCCCTAGGATTTCTGGGAGAAAGGAGCCACGTCCCTCCCTTCCAGGGCCACGCCCTTCCTAGTCCGAGGCCACACCCCTATGATCTCAGGTTGGCCCACTAGGTTCGCCTCTTAAAGGTGCCTTCACCTCTCCATGCTACCCCCTTTGGGTAGAGAGGGACTTTGGAGAGAGAGGGACACCCACCCGCAAGCCCCACCTAAACCACAGCTTACCCAGGGCTCACTGGGCACCACCTTCGTGTTCTGTGGCTACAATAACAAACTACCACACAGTGCCTCACAAAATGTATATCATCTGGAGTGGCAGCAGGTCAGGAGCCTGAGCTGAGTCTCGCCTGCAAGATCAGAGCCCCACAGGGCTGCTTTCCTCCTCCCAGGAACAACTGGTTTCTTTGCTTCCTGGCTTCTAGAGGCTGCTAGTATTGGCTCAGGGCTCACTCGCTCCATTTGCAAGTCAGTGACACTGGCTGAGATCTCTTGATCCATCTTGGGTTCTCTTTCTTCTGCCTTCCCCTTCCACTTAAAAACATCCTCTTGAGTCCCCTGTCCCACCTGGGTAATGTAAAATGATCTCCCAGACTCGAGGTCATCTGAGTAGCAGTCCTGATTTCTCATTGCCAGGCAACAACTTGAGGACCAGGGCGTAGCTACAAGAAGTCCACATGTGTAGGTGGAAAGCTTAGTATTCGGAATGGAAATCCCTTCCTCTCTTCTATTCTGAATTTGTTGTGGCCAAAAGCAGTTTGGCATTAGCAGGCCTGGTGCAACCTGGAGCCCAGCACAAGGGACAAATTCCAGCTCCACTTACTGCCCATGTGATGTGGACGAGGTGGGTGGCGTGCACACACCTCCTTTTTTAATTATTATTATTTTTTAAAATGTATTGAGTACAGAGTCTACAGGGTTTCAGTACACAGATCAGACTCATAGTGATCCTTCTGTTGTCAGCCTCCCAAGCATTGGGACTACAGACAGGTGCCACCACACCAACTCAGTCACAGGCTCAGTGTATGTACCCCAGGGGTGGGGCTGGCACACCAGGGATGGAACCCCTGTCTCTGTGTCTGCCTAAGCAGGTGTTTTAGTCCACTGAGTTATCTGGCCGGCCTTGCACACACCTGAACCACTGCAAAAAAAAAACAGCGATCTGGGCCTGCCGTGATCATAGACCTGTACAGATCAGTGCTGAGCAGGCTGCTGCCCACAAATTGCCCTAACACTCCTGTCAAATGTCATACAGCCTTATTATTTGTAGGGGAAACTTACTAAATGTCTGGTGAGTATTTGAATGAGTGACTGAATGAGCTCACCTTGCAGATTGTTTTTAATCAAAGACTAACTGCAGGGACAACCTCATCTGTCTCATTTTATTTAGAGACAATGCAGGAATGACCTCATCCTTAGAGTTTATACAGCACCACCAACATATATGATGTCACCAATATGAAAGGTTCTCTTGCCTTTTAAATTGTAAACCCTAAGGGCCTGCCAAGTAGCTCAGCAGATTAAAGCGACTGCAAGCAGGCACAGGGACCAGGGGTTCAATCCCTGGGCCAGCCTGCTGGCCCAACCCCTACCCTGAAGGCACGCTGAGAGGGCACCCTGAGGGGGCATGCTGAGACCTGAGATGTCACACTGAGACCGCGATTGAGACGGCATGGTGGCATGCCTGTAATCCCAGCTCTTGGGAGGCTGTCAAAAGGTGGATCAGTCCAATCTAGTAGTGAAACCCTGCAGACCCTGTGTAGTGAGACCCTGTATACCGTGTGCTAAACACATAAAATTTTAAATAAATGAATACATTATAAATCCTTAGGTTTTTACATAGTACAAAACCCTTTTGGCCACTATTTGAGATTAGGTTTGAAATCTGAAACTCTAGAAAAAGTTTTCTTTTTTCAAAAAACCTGTTTCAATGAGGGCTAAAGGGAAAAGAGGCCTGTTTTGCTCTGCAAATTTTTTGTTGTTGTTCTAAATTTTGAGAAGTTATGCGCTATGCTTTGTTATCCCCAGTGCTGAAAAGACTAAAGGCATAAATTAGAGATGAGTTGCCCACCATTCTGGCAAGCACTGAAAAGAGTCCTTCCTCATTTTCCTGTTCATTCCACCCTTAAACCTGTAGCTCTCAGGGGCTGGGGAGATAGCTCAGTAGAATAAGCTCTTGCCTGGCAAGTGCAGGGTTCTGAGTTCAATCCCTGGAACAGACAACATAATCCCTAACTGATGTGTAAACAACAATCTGGTTTAGAAGAACACATCACAGTAGATCACAGGGAACTTTATTGACTTCTCCCCCGTATCAAATGCCTCCTAATCTGCTCTGGCAATGATCAAAATAGTCATCACAAACACCATGATGAAGAAAACCCACATGAAGAACCGGTCTATGACTTTCGCAACCTTCTTCCACTCGCTGCCCTTGGAGTTGGTGGCCCTGTGGTCCTTGAGGCACTTGGCAATGTACTCGATATTCCTTGTCAATGTCTCATACCGCGCACAGTGACTCTCGGCGTTATGCAGCACCTCTTCCTGGCACCGCAGGTCATTCTTTAGGAGTTTGTTCATGTCCTTCTTCCGGGAAAGGTCTTTGCTTCTAGCTGTCTTCAGGTTGGACTCTGGAAGTTTGCCATAAACCTTGGTAAGGTGGCCCCGCTCCCTTCCATGGCGTGGGCTGAGGCAGTTCTCGCCCACGTCATAGACAAACAAGATCCTAGCCATGTATTTCAGGATGACCACTCGGGCCCAGTGTGGCACTGGCCGCGCCTCGGCCCCGCAGAAGTGGATATTCATCACCATGATGGTCAGGGCGGTGGAGGCCGTGATCAAGGCCATCGTGGCTATGTAGTATTTGCCTGCAATCAAAATATCAACAGCTCAGTTTGCTGTAACGCTGTCCTCACATTTGCTTGAAGAGAAACATACCTTCCTAAGGCAGTCCTAGTGATCACGTACAGACCTCTGAGGTGACGGCCGGGTTCAAATCCCAGCCTTGTCACCCACAAGAATTGTGACCTGCAGCAAAACTATGATCCTACCATGCTCCCACTCCTGGCTCTGTAGGACAGGTGAGGCTTAACAGAGCTGAGACGTGGAGAGTTCTCTGCCCTGTCCCTGGCTCTGAAGGCCTGCAGTGTTCGTCAAGGTCATGATGACGGTAGAAGTTTTTCACGACACTCAGGGACACTGACTGGCTGGCTCTAAGCACCATCTCCAGACCTCACTGAGTGGAAGACAGTCACCGCTGAACATGTAAGGGGGTGAGGTTACCATGTCTGTAAAATATGATTGCATAAAGCAAATGTTTATGAAAAAGAGAAGCAAAAGAAATGATATGGGCCCTTCTGTTTATAAAATATGAAACAAAAAAGTAAGAAGGTGAGCAAAACTAAAGGCAATTATTTTGAAAAGTAATAAATCCAAGTGTGTTGATTCACAGCTATATTCCCAGCTCCTAAGAAGGCTGAGCTGGAGAATCACTCGAGCCCAGGCGACACAGCTCACCGTGTTCTCAAAAAAAGAAGGTGGCTGGAGAATGAGAAAAGGAGAGAAAAATTACAATGACAGAGAGCAGGCTACTAATGAGTAATAATAGTCACTGCCTTCTTTATTACAGAACAGAAATGTCTCATGGCTTTTTATGTGTACCATAATTTAATAGATCTCATACAGTAGAGTTCAGATCATGTGTGGTTGACAGAATATTTTTGCTAGACAATC